TGGGGCCGCACAGCTGCCGTCTTTGCAGGGGTGGAGCAGATGAGTCAGACCTCAGTCCCTTGGAGGGAGCATGAAGGCGGCTGCTATGTCCCCTTCCCTCTCTTTCTGCTTCTGCAGAGCTGGGGCTGAACTCAGTCCTTGCACAGGCCAGGCAGGCGCCTACCCCTGAGCTACATCTCAGCTTACAGATCTGTGGAAAGGCCCTGGGCTCCATCCCAGCATCACAATAAAAACGGTTTAGCACACACCTGGGGAGACTATCCGAGGCCAACTTGGAGGACAGGAGACCCTGTCCCAACAAACGAACAACAAAGTACTATCTCTGAGTTTCTGGAAGCCAGGGGAAGAAAGAATTATGACAGCATGGTGACTGACTTGCTAGCTAATGACTTCCTTCTACTCTCTGTCATCTTCAAACAGTGATTCTGCACCTTGGGCATGCACACAACACCAGAACCTGTAAGCACATTAGGAGGCGCGGAGGCGGCCACCCCACCTGGAACTGCGCGCTGATGCTGGGCGGCTTCTTCTTCTTGTGCAGGTGCAGCAGGGACTTGGTGGTGCGGTCGTGCAGCGTCATGCCGATGATGAGCCGCAGGGACTTGGAGTCCAGGAGGTTCTAGGACAGACACACAGGTTGGGCCTGCTCGCCATGGCCTACAGTAGGGGCACCGGCTCCTGGGTGAGCACACCCTCTCCCTCCACATCCCTCACCCTCAGGACAGGGGCCAGGACTCAGTCCTTTCTGCCTATGCCTGGAGCTTCGTGAGCTCAGGGCCACCGGACCTCAAAGGCCAGCATGAGATGGTGACAGACAGGAGGACCACACTTCCTCTAGCTGTGGGAGAGGCTAAGGGGCCTGTCTACACAGAGGTCTGTGAGTATCTGAAGCCATACAGCTCCCAGCACACACAGATTTCTCGCCTGTGACTGCAATGGTCCAGCACACCAAACTGAAACCAACATGCTTTCAAGTCTGTGGTGATTTCCCCCCCTAAAGTCTCATGTGGCCCAGGCTGGCCTTGAACTCCTTAACCCTGTCTCCACCTCCCAATTGCTGTAAGGACTGGCACATATCACTACACCTGGACTTTACTTTTCATTTATGGAAACAGAATTTTGCTCTGTAGCATCACCTGCAACTCCTAATTCCCCTGCCTCATACCTCACTAGTAGAATGACATGCATGCATCACTATAGACAGCCAATCTTATACTTAAAAACACCTTATTTTTTAAAGTTTATTGTATGTGTGCGTGTGGAGGTCAGAGAACAATGTGCGGAGTCAGTGTTCTCCTCCCATCGTGGGGGTCCTGGGGATCAAACTCAAGCGCTCAGACTTGACATCTCGTTGCCCCATCTGACAGTTTAACACACACATGCACACACAATTTACTAGTGATGTTGTATCAATTACTTTAAGGCTATGAGTCTAAGGAGAAAAAGGAACACACTCCATATTGAGATAGCCTCTCACCCTGACACCTCACTGTATGCATGTAAATGTTTCAGAATGCTTAAGAGCAATCCAGAACAATCCAGTGGCTACTGGTCTGCAGAATTCTGAACAAGAACTACTGACCTTATTAAAAAACAAAAACAACAAAACCCCACCACCACCTGTGAGCTCCTCACGACTGTAGCCCACACTGGCTTGGTCTCCGGGGTGTGGACAAGTGTGTGTCTGAACAAGAGTCCAGTGCAGCACATACAGTGCAGGTACCGTCAACGCCCGTGGCAGGATGAGCCTGGGCTCTGGAGACAGAGGACTGCCCGCACACCAGTGGTACTGAGACGTCCCACTGTGAACCTGAGGAGACCGAGGGTCTGCAGAGCACGCAGACCTGCCCTGTCCTGCCTCACAGGCAGCACCTGACTCATGCTGAGTAAGGATCAGCCCAGTGGCTTGTGGGACCCTTCAGGGGTCCAGCTGGATCACTAGAAGGGTAGATTTGAGATGAGCCAGGCTCTCTCTTTCCTGAGAGTGACCTCAGCTCCTCCTGGGCAAACTATCTCATTGCAGCTCCTACTCTGCAAGAGAACTGCAAGCCAGGTCTGATTTCTGTGCTGGGCAGAGGGTCGCAACCCCAGCCCCTCACTGGGGATCCTAGGCGGGGCTCCACCCTGACCACGCCCCCAGCCCTCACTGGGGATCCTAGGCGGGGCTCCACCCTGACCACGCCCCCACCCCTCACTGGGGATTCTAGGCGGGGCTCCACCCTGACCACGCCCCCAGCCCCTCACTGGGGGATTCTAGGCGGGGCTCCACCCCTGAGCCACGCCCCCAGCCCCTCACTGGGGATT